CTTTTGACTTGACAGTATTCTGTTTCATACCTCCCCAGCATGCTTTAAGGAATATAATAGCTCAGGAGGTGTTTGGAAACTGTCCTGTCTGCTCTCTTTTTGCTAATGTTTGTTTGAAGCCAGGAGCAGGCTTAACACTTCTGTAAAAAAAGCCTACCTGTCTGCTCTCTTTTTGCTAATGTTTGATTTGAAGGATTTCAGAAGCAGGCTTAACACTTATGTAAAAAAGCCTACAAAAAAGTCTTAATGCTGCTTCATTAAAGCCTTAAAAAATGTTGATCATGATGCTTGTAATTTTGCAAACAGCCGTAATTTGAAGATCTTAGTTTGAAGATGCGTTTCAGTATGAAATTAGTTTAAGTGGTCATTTTTATTATGAAAAACAGTACATATTGGTCATTAGGAAACCTGTCTGCCTTTCCTAAGATAGTATTTAGAGGAATAATTTTTTTAAATGCACCTGATAATGTAAATATCAATGATCTTCCTGTAGCACAAATGTAATTTTACAGTAGCACATTGTTCATTAGTGTGTGTACACTACTTTGACTACTGTAATAAATTTTAAGCAACATCCAAATTAACAAGGAATTGTTGCCAAAGATACAAATACAGTTTAGTAAGACAAATTAAGTAATGAAATGCTCTTGTTTGAATGATTACATATGAATTCACTCGCTAGCTGTATTTGTGAAATACTTGTTTCTTTTTAGTAATGTGTTATGTAAATATGTTAACATCTTTATTGTGAGTGGTTAGGCATGTCAATAGAAAGAACATTGGGTAGTGAATTGTTGCCAAAGATACAAATACAGTTTAGTAAGACAAATTAAGTAATGAAATGCTCTTGTTTGAATGATTACATATGAATTCACTCGCTAGCTGTATTTGTGAAATACTTGTTTCTTTTTAGTAATGTGTTATGTAAATATGTTAACATCTTTATTGTGAGTGGTTAGGCATGTCAATAGAAAGAACATTGGGTAGTAAATAAATACATAATTTGGAAGCAAAGGACTGTACCACTATGCTAGAGATTACTGGTAGACAACTATTAAAGTTTCTGATATTACCAGAAGCAAATCAATGCTTTTTTTTAACTGATATTTTAAGGAAAATATTTTTTCAGTGACAAAAAAGAAAAAAAAAAGTGTTCTCTAGCATACCCATTTTGAAGACTGCTTGGGTCACTGATAACGGTAGACCATGCATAAGAAAACAGTAGAGTGTGCATAAGATTACTTACTAATAAGTCTCATTTGTAAAATATTAAATATTGTGGGCATAAAATCTAGAGCAGAATTTGATTGCAATTTTGATATCAAAAGTCCTGCTTGTCCTGTAGTATTCTTGATATTTGTGTAAAACAGCATTTAACATAGGGGTGTTTTTTTTTTCC